ATATGGGAAAGGACGAGATTTGATTTATGATTTTGAAGAAATTGAAATTACATTACGAAATCTGGTTAGTTGTTTTCATGTTCTCGATTATGAAGAATTACAAGTATTTAACTATTAATTTGAATTATATGCAGAAAATACTTCATTGATCACTCAAATTCGACGACGTGTTCAACAACAACCATTGCCAATGAATGAGCAAGAAAAATAGAGAAAACTACTGATAACGATGAATAATGACGAAATTATTCCTTGTAAAGGTTCATTAGATTATATCTTCACCTATTTGTGTAATGTAGAAGAAAATGAAGTTAATGGTACTCTTCAAACATTTGTAGAACAATATATCGGACGACAAGCTTGTCTGCATGAAAATGTGTTTCGATGATCACCCTTTTCCACCATACCGCTCATTTATATTATTGCTTTCTATGAATCGATTGAAGAAATCGCCTTTGATAATGTATTGCGTACTTATGTCAAAGCCGAATTACGAGATGCAAAATGTCCTGATGAGACTACGTTTGATCAATTTGTTGCCCAAACTTATGGTAAAACTGGCGTACCAACCGTTCTACAATCACCAGCTGTATGGATAGGAACACTGAAACGATTGTTAATGCGTGTTTTAAGTGCTAATACGATTCATTTAGATACACCACTACAATATTATCTCGAACGAATTGATATGTGGAGTGGAAATATTACCGAAGAGCATCTGCAATCAGTGGAAATTAAAGAGACATTTTTGCTTCAACATACTTATATTATATTATGTGAATTGGATTCACGAGAAAAAGCATTGTATCAAACTGAACTACCTGTTACCACAGGAAAACCAATACCAAATATTGAAGACAAAAAATGAATGCTCGAAAATATATAACAACTGCTGGAGGAACATCAGTGAGAAAAACGGTGCCTAGTAAACCACCTGCAACAAAATCTGATAGAAAACTGCGTATTTTATAATGATATTTTTTTTCTTTTTAATATTTTATTAATAAATCAGAAGTACAATTCTCATGATTTCTATCACGTGCTCAAGACAAACGATTTCCAACATATCTTTTACACTATCTAGTCTTTCTTTCTGTTGTGTTGAAACCGTCATTTCAAAGGATTATTTGTCAGATGATACATTTCTAAAAAAAAATGTTTTGAACTCATTTCCTAGATGAAGTCAACGATTCACTGACACTTCCGCGCAATACATGTTCGTACACCAATAAGGGTGTGGGTGTGGGTGTGCGAGAAGAAAAGACTCACAGCCACATCCACACCCAATCATGAAAATTTGTATTAATTTTTTCAGCAATATGCATGAACTTTTCACTAGAAAATACGATTTTTTAAAAAGTTGAACTACAATCGATACCAATTATGCAAGACTTCATCACACTTAAAAACCAATGTAAGTGTCGGATGCTACGATATAAACTATTATGACACTCAGAAGTCTGAAATATGTATCTTTTCAAAATGGGATATCCTTACTGCATAGTCAACGGATCATTGCATATTTCTGTCGAAATAAGTAAGATGTATCTCATTTCATGTTGGAACTGCGCGTAGGCTGTCATGTTGAAGTTGTTCGACAGAACAATCTCGGTATACGTCTAATAGAAACCTCTTTTTAATTCCTTCAAGTTCGACTGTTTCCCGAATGAATATGTCACTTTAACCATCGTTTTTTATGTCCATTACTAGATCACACAAGTACTCAGACCAGCTGAATACCTGAATGGGAAATATAGTGTTCAGAACGCGTTTGATTGTCGATCTGATAGTATGGAGTCGGAAACGAACTGGTACTCAGCTATGGTTTCTACGAAACCGTGATAATTACTTCTACAGTTCTCCGAGAAACTGACAATTTTGATTTATTAGTTTTTAAAACACTTTATCCTTGTGTGCTAATTAAATCCTAATAGCAGCATGAAAAACATCTATCGCAATACGAGCCCATGTTCAAACTTCTAATTTCCAAAACAGAATAAAAGCCTACTGAGCTTTTATTCTGAAGAGACGGGTGGGAGAAGGGGGTTAAGAGAACATCAGGACTTAAGGGTATCCCATATAATAGGACATGAGGACCCAAGGGAATATCCATATAATAGGAGATGAGGAACCGAGAGTACCTGCAAATAATAGCATACGAGGGCCTAAGAATACCTTCATATAATGGGAGATGAGAACCTAAGAGCCTCCACATAATAGCACATGAGAACCTAAGAGTACCTTCATATAATAGTACATGAGGGTCTAATAGTACCTCCGAGTAATAGCACATGAGGACCCAAGGATGCCTCCATATAATAGCACATGAGGACCTAAGAGTACTTTCATATAATAGTGCCAGTAGTGTCAAACTTGAAAGTTGAATTCAACTATTCAACTATTCAATTATTGAATAGTTGAAGTTTCAATTATTCAACTATTCAATTATTGAATACTTGAAGTTTCAACCATTCAACTATTGAAGTATTCAATTATTCAATACTTGAAGTTTCAACTATTCAAGTACTCAACTAGTCAACGACTGAAATGCGACCAGAATCCTCTAATATCGACAGGTATTGTCTGCGAGACTACAAGTATCCCCTATGATGCTGCGAGGATCCCATAGGATGCTAACAAGTATGGCCTAAAATGCTATAAACATCCCCTATGTTGCTACAGGCATTCTCTTTGATGCTACATGCATCCCATAGGATGCTAACAGCATCCCTTAGTGTGCTACAAGCGTCCCCAGGATGCTACAGGCATTCCATAATATGCTACCGGCATCACCAAGGATGCTACAAGCATCCCATAGAATGCTACAAGTACCCCCTAGTATGCTACAAGCATTTCCTAGGACACTACAGGTTTTGGTTCAGATGCTGCATACATTATCTGGGATGCTACAGGAAGGATGTGAGAAGCTTGAGCTAATGTGCAGCGCTGAGTAGGAATAATGGTGTACACAGAGACGTGGATGGGTCGGGGCGCTTCGCACCCTCACGCCGCGACGCTGAAATAAAAGGTGCGTTAGGTGGGGAAGCGCGCTTCCCCACTGAATATTCCCAGAACACTTGAAAAGTTAAAATTTGAATAGTTAAATACTTGAATAGTTGAATACCTGAATACTTGAAACTTCAATTATTCAATAATTGAATAGTTGAAACTTCAATGATTCACTAATTGAATAGTTGAACTAATAGTTGAATACTTGAATTCAACTTTCAAGTATTACATGTATGGTTTTCTCCATGCCCACACCCACTACCCACACTCAACCACACCCACACAGCCACACCCACACCCACCACACTCACACTCTGAATCATGACTTTGAGTGAAGCTTTATCATAAAGACTTAGATTCACCATCTAGTTACAAATAGGCATGCACCAGATCCAAGCCATTTGGGTTTGGTGAGTTTGGGTATTGAGTTTAGGTTTGGGTTTGGATTTGAGTATATGGGTTTGAGTTTGGGTTTAAATTTGATTATGGCCCATGTATCTAAGCTTTTGATATACGTCTGTTGATCAAACTCAAACTCAAACTCATATGCAAGCCCAAACCCAAACCCAAACTCCCAAACAGTTTGGGTTTGAGTTTGGGTTTGGTGCATGCTTAGTTACTAGTCATTGAATGGGTTTTTTTCCCATGATAAGAAGAAAAAACATTGAAAGTAGATAAAAGAAGCCAAAAAAAAGGCCTCAAGAAAAAGATTTTTTTTGGCGAAATAGCTTATGACATTATCTTTGTTTATATCGTTCTTTCATCATATCACTTTAATAGACGACGAACTCTGATATCAAAGTGCGACTAACTATGAGCAAAATTGTTGATTTTCGGACACTGCCCTGTTTGCGCAGCAGTTGATTATTGTTTACTCGAGTAAACTTCAAAGTCTTCAGACTTAGTACTAATTGAATCATTTAGTGTTTCTATATGATTTTGTATTGTGAAGTACGTTAAAAAAAAACAAAAGTATGAAAAGGTAGCATATATTATTTGAGATGAAGCTCTGCGCACAGACTTGACTTATATCACGTCTCTACTGTTTTTGAGGCCAATTTCAAAATATAGCGAATTG